GAATAAAGTAATTAAACCAGCCGTGAAATTGATTTTTCTTCAATTCATTTCGTAATAATTTATAAAAACCGTTTAAGTTTTTAAGTAATCGTAACGCGTTTCGAAATTAATTATTTAATTTAATCTTCAACTCTATCGAAAAGTATATATATATAACCCTCTGTAATTTGAAAATTTTTACAATTTTGATGGTACTTTTATCGAGCGAGCCAACTCGACACGTTTCGCCATATCTTCGATATCGTTCCTCTTGTAAAAGATGATTTAAGAAATATTGTCGCAAATTTTATAGCCGTCAGTGTCCATCCATTATTCTCCCCGATGATGACATATATCTTCCCCATATCGTGTGCACATCTCCGTTAAACGGCGCAAATTTTCATTCAAACGATTCGCTCTTTCGTGCTTTCAACGAGAAAAAAAAAGAAGAAGAAGAAGAAGGAAGAAGAAAAAAATAAAGGAACCAAAAGAAAAGAGCGATTTTCATTCAAATGATTCGTTCTTTCATTGCTTTGAACGAAAAACAAAAGGGAAGGAAAAAGAGGATCACCTCGTAAATACGAAAACGAAAAGCGTCAAGACTCGATTCAGCTATAAAAGTGGCGAGATTTCAATAAACATCCTCGACGTTGAGCATTTGCAATTTATGCAAATCGTGACGACAGCGAATCCGTCGATGCTTTGTCTCGCGGACGAGGCAAGAATCGGTCCTGGATCCGCGCGTCCATTCATTCTAAAAAGCCACGAGACGAGGTGAAGTCATGGGGCCCACGGTAGGAAGCGAGCCAACGCCGCATGCGATTTGAATATCCGTGGGTGTCTTCTCTCTCTCTCTCTCTCTCTCTCCATCCTCGCGCGAATTCGCGCTCACGCCTGTTACCATTTACCATCTCCGTATATGTAATTCATTGAGCGAGGAAGGAACAATAGGAACGGTTGCGCCGAGGACTTTTCATGATTATACGGTGCTCAAGCTGTGATTACCGTGTACCGATCCTTGTACCGTGCCTCGTCACCGAGCTGCCACGCCGATTTTCCTTTTTTTTTTTTTTTTTTTTTTTTCTTTCGCAACGGTAGAAAAGAATTGCCGTTCCTCCACGCACGCGCAACGAGTCTTATCATAGTAACGCGAGAACGAGCGGGATCTATTTCGAGCGATTCTAAATTATCGCGATCTCTCGTGACGGTAATTGGCCTTTATACTTCCTTCGTTTCTGATCTTCGCTCGATATAAGAAATATGATGGAATCCGTGCTTGGATTTTCGATGAACTTGGAGTTAATTCAAGCGTTTTTTTTTTTAAGGGAATTTAAAGAGAATTTGTGATATGCTATCTTTTCATTGTGTATCATTCAAATTTCGGAACGATTCGAAATGGATAAAAGTAAATAAAAGTGTTTTTTAATTTTCTGTCAAGGATTTAGAATCTATGAAAACATTGATTATTCTGAAAATTCATTTCGATCGCAGGCCATTTTCACATCTCTGCAATTTTGCGATAATTTTAATAATCGTCTCGTTCTATCTTCTCCTCGTCTTTGCTTAACTCAAATTGCTGGTAACTCGCTATTAAATAAACGTTGCGACATTTTGGTTTGGTTTGTTCTCTCGTAAAATTGACTCTCACGAGTGTATCAACACCTTGTGCAACGTAATAATCGTAACACGGCTCCCCGCGATTCTAGCATAATTAACTAAAACAATTTCCTCGAGTTGTTCGTTCGTGTTCGTTGCTGCGCGACCAGTAATTTTCTTACTTCTTTGAATCGTGTTAAAAAATATTTAGGAAGCTCTCATTAAACAATGTTGCATGCTCGACGAATGTTTCTGGGGGGAAAGCGCCACGATACGAAACGTTCCCGCATTCCTCTAAACGCTTTGAAGCGTTAAAACACGTTCGGATAAATTCGTTAACGTTTCCTTATATACGAAATACGAATATAATTGGTTGCCTTTCCGGGAATTCTTCGTCTCTAAAAGTTACGGAAATAAACGGAATTCCTTTAACGAGGATGCATTAGATCGAAGATAGAGGATCGGTTAATTAATTAATCAGATTCGCCGGCGGGCTGATTTTATTCCTTGTAATGTAGACGAGAAAAATGAACGTACCCGCTATTATTTTGTTTATTTTAAACCCGACAGTTCGGCAAAGGATTTTTCTTAAGAATTTTGATTAAGTTCCGCGAGAGGATCGAATAAACTATGCATTATTAGCAATGGTGGAAACATCAGATGAGAAATTAAATGCATACACGATACGAATTATTATACCGTGGTATAATTGGAAATTCTTGTGGCCAACCTCGATACAGAGTAATTTTCGCGCGTTCGTTAACTCGTTAATAACTGTTCGAGGATCTATCTGCTATTTTCCATATTTTTCGATCATGTATACACGTATATACTCAAACAACGATATTTCTCCTCGAGACATATATCCCTTCCGAGATATTGCTTTTATAACATAATATAACTTAAACATATATTTCCGTCATTTTTAATTATAATTTTATCGAATTGCCATTGTCATAGCGAAAAATGATAAATTAACTCAAATAACAAATTTCCATTGCGCATTATTGTTTCAATAAAAATAATAATGAAATCGATGTATCAATCACAAGATTCTAAACGTGACGATGATCGAGAAGAAAACAATCTTTCTCCTCTCCGCACGAAGGGCATGGATGGAAGGCGAATTGTTATCGTCATATTCTCCGTAGCAACGTGTCAATCTGATCACGTACCGATACATTCTTTGGCCGACCGTGTACGGCACCACACCGTGTATAGCTACGTCTGCGGTGCTACCACGGTTGTAACGAGTCTGGTATGTGGTACGCTTTCACCGTTTGCAATATTCATACATCCACGCATTGTTATTACATGCTACGCGCGATGCAGAATGCCTGCATGTCGCGAATCGAAGTGATAAAATTACCGAGTGATGATGATTCCTTCTTTCTTTCTTTCTTTCTTTCTTTTTATTTCTATCTTCGATCGTATATGGGTCTGGCGTCGTCGTCATCCAGCGACACGCGAAAACGTGTCCAACTTCTCGATTAACTTCTCGATCGAGGATTCGAATCGTGATATAAAAGTATTGAATATAAAGCGGTATAAGTAGGATATCACGAACTTCGTTTAGATTTGTTGTCCTATTTGGGATGTATCGTTCCCAATATCGGGGATACTTTTATTTTTTTTTTTTCTTTTCTTTTTCGCGCGCGAGAATAAGAAATTTTATTGCACGATACTGTTATAGCGAATTCAATTCGAGGACTGTCCTCGTTTCTCTTTCTCAGGCATTCTTATTTTAGAAAATTTGTAATTTCATCTACATGCTGTTGTTTTATTATTATTATGCTATCGTGTCGATTTTTATAAATTAATATAAATTATCATATATTCGTTTATTTGGAAAAGAAAGTAACCATCGAACTACGATGGTTTTCCTAGTTTCTAAAGTAAATTTCTTCGTGATTTTATTTTGACTTTATCCAGGATCGTTATCGATGCGTGATTATTCGTCCGATAACAAGGAGCATCGAGGAATGTAATTAAACTTCTTCCAGAAATTTATTAAGAACGGAAGAAAAATTGTACGCATAGCTATTTAGATCTAAATATTAATTATTCTCGAAAGAAGTTCATATCGGAATTCAAGAAGAATTTACATACATGTGCTGTTATTTAAGATTGATTTTATGTCTCTCTCGTTTTGATTATATTTTCTCTCCTTTAAATAGAATCGTTCCAAACATAGATGAACGTAAACGTCGCGTGTGAAAAAGACGCATAAAATGGGTTAACTTTAATGTCGTTTACGCAAGGGATTCCGGTTTCTCTAGAATGTGGGTTACCGCAAGTTTAAATCTATCCGTGTATAAACGGTACATAATAATTTCCATCTCGTTCCATTGCTCGATCCAACCGAATGAATCGCAACCATGATTCTAATGCAATGATGACTAATTGATCCCTGGATTTGCGGATCGTGTTAAAGAATGTGTGTGCGTGATAAGGTCGATTAAAATTTTAAAATCAGAAGGATAAAAATTAATCAAATGCATCTCAAAACGTACTTAACGAGAAGATTTTTGTTCTTGACGAGAAGGAAGCGAATTCGAAGAAGATTAATTTTAGAGAAACGGAGAGAAAATGGAATTTGAAGAATTCGCTCCTCTTCTTTTCCACTCTACTCTTTTTTCCTCTCTTCCTTTTATTTTAAACGCGATACACTCTTCTTATACCGCTGCTGCACGTTGGCGTCCACAAGTCCACCTTGAAACGAAATCATTTTGTGCACAACCGTTTCACCGATGTAAATTTGTAATTACATAAAGGGGTCGGTGTCGGACAAGGGTTTCGAGAACGATACAATCTCATTATGCGTGCTCTATTACCAGTCACGTGCGTAGCGACGTCTCTTCGAAAGGGGAGCCCTTCCTTTTTTGCGGTGGACGCGCAAGCGTTGATTGCCCGTAGATTCCCTCGATCGATAGCCGATGTGTTTTCCTTCGAAATCGTGTTTATCGATAATCGTGTGATGTTTTATACGACGTTTATTGCGCACGTATTCGATTTTATCGATTTAGATATCTGATGAAATTAAGGAGGGAACGAACGCTTAACGTGATCGACGCTCTTTAAATAATTTAATCGACGGAAGAAAAATTAATGTTACGTCTATTTATCTGGTTTTTCCATTTATTAAAAAGGAATCGGTTCGATTGTATGGATTGTATTCTGCTGTAAATATAAAAAAACCGATATATTAAAACACTATGTAAATTGGCAAAAAGGGTTTAACTTAAAAAAAATTTGTTAAATCTGTCGTCCTCTTTAACATCTATCTCCCCCCTTTTTTATATTTTATATGTCGTGCATAAGACGAGCGAAGAAGACCAAAAACCAAAAAACTTTCTTCTAACTATAATTTTTTCCAATTTAATATTTCATCATACCATTTTTTTTTTTTTTTTTTTTTTTTAGGTCGAAGTCGAGAGTGAAGGAGGTGTACGCGCAGACATGCATGCTTCTCGGCCAGCAGGGCATGCGAGACTGCGAACTGTTCGGCCTGGCAATATTGTCCGGTGAGTAAACAATGGGCTCCCTTCTTCTACGTCCATAAAAGTAGGTAGAAAATTTAAGGGAAGAAAAGAATTCGAAAACGAATACAAAAGTTCTCCCCCATTCACGAAATCTTTTGCAAATCTTTTCCACCCGCCTATTTCCCGGGATCACTTTCTAAATTTTCTACCCGCTTTGTTTCGAACACCGTGTATACCTTTGCTCCCGTTTCCGTCGTTCTATCGTTTAACGGGCGAAATGCGGTCGGACGGGACCGGTGAGCATCGTGAATGACTTGCGGGGTAGCTGTATCCGCCTCGAATTACGGCACGCCACTTTTTAACCTCCTACAGAGTAGATCGAATTACCGAAGCTCACGCGAGTCATTAGGTGTTGCGTTTCGCGAGAGAGCGCGAACCTTCTCCCGAATCACGCACCTTCGAGATCAATCGTCCACCATTTCCACGACTCTCAATACTCTCGATTTTCTCTTTCGCGAACGAAAAATATTCCTGGAGATGATAATTTGTTTAAAAATCTCTGCTATATTTTATATTTTACATGTTGTAAACACTTGATTGGTTAAAAGTTTGGCTAACTCGAAACTCCTTTTCTCCTGTGTTTCTTCTAAGGATGAGGAAGTCAAGAAATTTCGTTCAACTACGTTTACGGTTTAATAATTTCTCAGAATTCTTCTCGCGCGTATAAACAATGCGATTGGAGGGAGAAGATTTGGAAGAATTAAAGAACTCGATGGAAAGGATAAGGATAAGAAGGATACTTTCACTAACCGTTCTGTTGGATAACTCCGAGCGACACTCTATCCGATGAGAATCCAAAAGACTGTCCCGACCGAGATTCACTCGACCGGGGAGAAAGTATTCTAGACGTACTATCGATAGCTCTGGTAGAGAATCGCGTTTCAGGGGATTAAATAGAAAAAGTTAAAATAAAAAATAAAGGAATTGTAACGAGTAAATAATACGAACGAAAAAGACTTTTAAAATGTTACTGTGACGTTCTTTGTACCTTTTTAAATATCCCTGTTTGGGATAAAATGAACAAGTTGGAATACGATATTTTAAATTCTAATTATTCTAATTATATTTAATATCGTTAAAAATTCCTCGTATAATTCAAATATATTTTTATGTTTTTGCAATTGACAATTAATAATTAATGATCCATCGGTTCCATAATTACAATGTTTCGGATATTTTTATTAAAATTTCTCTAATTTTAATTTTTACAAATAATAATCGTAAAAAAAAACATATCGTTTTATATGGCAAAAGTGAAAGGAACCGAATGAAATGGAATGTGGGAAGCAGGCTCGATGCCAGGACCGCAGAGGGTTAAAATTTATTACGTGTGAATAGTTGAAATTACCTGGTTTTTAGTATCTAGATAAATATCGCCCCAGCTCGGGCTTCTCCTTTTTATCGAGAAGAAAAACGGATACAACTTTAACTACCTTAACACGTTATAATATTATATAAGATTCCAAAAAACTTGCCAAACAATTATACATTCGAAATTTAATATTAATAATAAACATAGATTATCATGAAGTCTCTTTTTTTCTTCTTTCGATCGAAATGACCAGTGATACTTTCCAGAAATTTTGCCATTTTCTTCACGGCGGTCCCAAGCTGTAAACAGAAATGGTCAAATTTGAAACAAAATATATACAAAAAAAAAAGAAATGGCGAAAAATCTCGGAATACCAGCTTAATATCGCGCAAAGAGAGTCCTTGCCGAGTAGTCCGTTGACTAATCTTGAGATCTTTCTGCATATAGCCGTGGTCTTCTTGCTCTCCCTCGCCCTCTGGCCCCGGACACCATCCACGAAGCTCCTTCCCTTCCCTTCACCGAATATACTCGGCTTTGCAGCGCTACCCTCTCGCTCTACTCTCTTGCCTTTCCACCAGTCATGACAAGCCGGTCCGACTGGTACCCCCACCAACGCGGCCGGACCCTTCTTGGGCCTCGCAAGGGCCCTGCGGGACCCCTCCCTCCTACATTCCAGCGGGGCCCCATCACGGCGAGGCTGAGCTGGCGGGTTTTGAGGCGCGCGAGCCATGCCACGACAGGAAAAAAATGCATCTGAAAAACGAAAACAAGTAGAAAAAGGTGGCTCACACCCCTGCATGCGTGCGTCGGTTTGCGTGAACGTTGCCCGGACCCCGTACCGAGTCCTCTCCTCCTTTCTCTTCTCTCCTTTCTTTCTTTCTTCCTTTCTTTTCGCTCCTCTTACGCTCCTCTTCTTGCTCTACGCTCGCGTACGTGCCCGCAAACTGCTGCCTGCCTGTTCAACGCTTCTTCGTTTCCTTCTTCTTCTTCTTCTTCTTCTTCTTCTTCTCCGCTTCGTCCTTGCGTTTCTCTCGATTCGCTTTCTACCGGCTACGTCTCCTCTCCCCCAAATATCTTTCCTCTCTAAGATGTTTCCTCGAGCCATGTTCCCCTTTTCTCTCTACGTACGTTTCCCCGTCCTTTCTTATGGTTTCTGCAATCAAGATTTTTTTTTTTCGAGTCCTCCTTTTTTCTTCGAGTTTGCTCGCTCCTCTCCTTGTTGTCGCTCCTTTCGCGCGCTCGTCTCTCCTCTGCTCCTCCTCCGTCTTCTCCTTTTTGTACCGGTTATTTCGTCTTGTCCCTCTATCCCGACCCCCCATGCCCCTGGCGGTAAAATGACACGGACCAATCGCTGCTGCAATTTTGTAATCACCACCGTCTGCTCTTCGACGCTTCTTACTAAAAATAGATATCGAGAAAGATCGCCCCGGGCGAGGCGGGCGCGAGCAGCCGCCGAAAAATTCTTTGGTTACAACCCCTCCGCCTGCTGGCGAACGTGATCGAGCGGATGTCCAAGGCTTTTTCGTATCCTCAAGGTCTTACCAAGGATGTTTCTTCCAATTTTTACTTGTGTTCTTTTCCTCTTTCGTGGTGGGATAATTTGTATTGAAATTATTACGAAATTATTACACTAGTGTAATTAGCGTAATACAAAGATTAATCTTGTAAATTTTTTGTTCGCAATTTTCGTAATTAAGTCATGGTTTGTCAACATGTTCAATTTTATCGTTCACATCGTTTATCGTTCTTTTCTTTTTCCCGTCGTTAGAAAACGATTTAAAGTTTATGACGGAATTATTACGTAATAATTAAACTTGGCAAATCATTGAACCCAATCCCTCCGTTCGAGAATCAAGGTCTCGTCAAGGCCTTTCCAAAGGTATTTATTTCTTTTCACGCTTCTTAAAATTTTTGTCGGTATAGGCGTAATCCGAAATGCTCGAGCCAAGGAATCGAACGTTCGTTTCGTGATCTTCATGGCAAGGGTACGCTTCTATAAAACGAGAAAATTACGAGACGAAAATGATGAATTTTCGCGAATTCATGCCAAACGATTTGCCACATTAATAACGCGACATTTAATTAAAAATATCGTCTACTGATAAGGAGAAACTGTGGAAGATCGGTCGCGGATGTGTCGCGGCTAATTTATTTGAAAGGTCAAATTTTTTGGGCGTCAACGCGTGGTACGTGTGCGTGACCGAGGGTCGAGGTGCGTGTTGTTCGCAACAGGAGAAAAAAGGAACCGACGAAAAGGGACATGAAAGTGCACGAGGGGTGGGGAGGGGTGAGGGGAGGAAGAGAGCGACGGACCGAGGAAGACAGGATGCTGAAACGAAAAGAGCGAGAGAGCGAGAGAGAGAGAGAGAGATACACACCCCCTGGCTCTCCTCGCGCATTATATAACAAAAAAAAGAAGAAGAGAACGAAGGGGAATGAATAACGAGACGCGAGGAGGAGGAGGAGGAGGGAGGACGCGTAGAAGAAAACAGGCGACAAACCTATGCGATCTGTGCCAAAATTCAAAGACGAACGAAGAAAGAGAGAGAGAGAGAGAGAGAGAGAGAGAGGACGCGATAAT